AAACTCAGAAGAACGTGATCGCGACTCCTACACCACGAACCTCCAAACCATCAAGACTTTCATCTGAGACTGCATCTGCACGCTTGTTCAAGGCCAAGGCAATGCAAGTATCGTACATTTAACTAAACGAAACAGAGATTTAGTATAAGCTGTAGACCCCGTTCTAAAACGGTGCTGATGGTTTTACTCAGGTGGTTAACTGACTCTTTTCATAGCTTCTTTCTCTGTTTTTCCTGATGGTTTCATCCATCCAGTTTCATTTGCCCTTTCCCATGTATGAGTGATTGTTTGTTTGTTTGTTTGTTAGACTAGTTTGTGTTAGTGTTTAGTTAATAAAACTCTTGTGTACAAATGACATGAGTTTCTGATTCTGCCTTGCAAATTAATGTCCCTTTACGATTTTGATCCTTGCTACATGCTCTAATGCATTATTAGGCTACTGTAAAAAGGTTGTTTTCTGTGGCTACGAAAATATCCTTTCTTAGAGTTGATATGAAATTACACTAAATGTTCGCTAGCCGAACAGATTAGTTGATGGCAATTTAATTCTGCTATAGTTACTACTGGCAGCTCATATAAATAATTGTAATTAATCATAATTAATTGTGATTATTTATATACATTTCCCTTTTGAGCTAATTTGCTACATTTGTATCTTTTTGTATCAAGCTTAGCATTTCTCATATAAACATCCCTTTTCATGTAAAAATGCATCAAAAAAAAAAGCCACACATACAAACCCATGATCATATATTTTTTAGCTTCATGTTTTAGCTGTACAGTATGTACAATATGTTTCTTTATATTAGTTATGTACAAAGACGGAATGCGGAAGTTTATAGGATTTCATCATAGAAGGGTATTATGACCACGTAGTGTGACAGATCAGCGAATCATCTGTCTGGAAGTCATTTGACCCGGAACAAAAACACATTTATCAGATCACATAATTTAGTGGAAAATTTATAAAAAAACAATTCTTTCAAAAGAAGTATGAAGTAAACATGAGAAACCATTAATATTTCTCCATGTGCATTTGTTTTATTAAAATGAGCAAAAATAAAACAGCATATGTGCTTGTACATTTATGCGCTTGTATGTCCTATCAGTAGGTTTGGTTTGGCATGTTTGATCTGTAGTCATTACAGTAATTTAAAAAAAATAATAATAAAAATACAGTCACTAACCATAATCATAAGCAGTGTTTAAATATTGAATAGTCTTTAATACTTCTAATGATATATGGTTTGTCTAAATTAAATACAATTTATATTAATATTATGTGATTGGATTTCGGAGCAGGTTGGTGAAGTGGCTTCTCATGTCCGTGGCATAATGTTTGTCAATAACCAAGCATTTTTTTGGGTTCACTTAGACCTTCAAGTGAATGGGAATGAAAATTCTGTCATTTACTCACCATCAAGTTGTTCCAAACCTGTATAAGTTTCCTCCTTCTGTTGAACACAAAAGATAATATTTTGAAGCATGTTGGTAACCAATTGCTGGTAGCCATTGACTTCCATAGTATGGAGGAAAAATGTCTAAGTCTCGGCTTCCCTGATGGAGGGAACAGAAACATTGTGTCAGTTCCAACACTAGGGGTCACTCTTGGGAGCCCAAACACCTCTGAAGTATTCAGGGTTCACCACTCAAGGGAAACTAAAAAACAGGACCTGATCAGCACACATCACCTCAGAGAGGGGAAAGGCACTGAATGCAAGCTGTACACTCTACCGGTTATCTGGGTTCATCTGTTGGTACTCAGAACTCTTGATGAGACTGGTTCCCTGCACAGATTATATAATCTGGTGATGGTATTAGATGTAGCCCAGCCTGCAGCTCTACAGTATGTACAGTATGCTAACAAGACACCATTTGCTAAGGCTGAACAGGCAGCAATGCCCCTGGTCGAGTACACCCTCACTTTTATGGGGTGTGGTAAAGCTCGACTTGATATGCCAGGAGAATTGCATACACAATTCTGTGGTATATTCTCTGTTTGGAGACAGCCTTCTCCTTCAGCTGTCCTCAAAAGCAGACAACGAGCTGTTCAGATTACATGAAACTCTGTGTGGGAACCAGATATATCTTCATGGAAAGGGCACTGTAAAGGCTCAAACGGATCTCCCTGTAGTAGGGTTGGGTACCGTTCACATTTTAACCGGTACGGTACCGGTATCGGTACCCAACGGTACCTTTTTTCGGTATACCTTTACTCTCTGTGTAATTACAAAAACATTTATTTCAGTGAAAATATAAGTCCAAAAGTCTCAATTTCAACATTTTGAACAATAGGGTCCTACAAACTTTTTCTTTCTTTCTTTTTCCCCCCCAGAAATTCTTGTTTTAATTTTTCTGAAAATCAAATGAAGGCATTAAACATTTATTTTAAATCAAATGAAAATTAAACCCTTTTATTTTTTGGCAAGCAAACTGAGGTTTACTGTTGAAATTAATATATGGAAGAAAAATTGTGTGAATATTCCTTTAAAACATTTTTTAATAGGCTAATAATTGTATTTTTTCTACAATTAAGTGATTCATCTGGTTGTAATTTATTTTTTATCAGGTAATTGTTTTATTTAAATTTGATAGAAAATGGAATATTTAAAGATGTACATTATACTGTACAAAAGTAATACAGAGTAATATATTTCTGTTACATGTTAAACCGTACTTTTATTTTGACAGGTTGCCATGAAGTTTCTGTGTGTATACAGTATGATGATGCTAGTTTTCTCAAATAAACGGTAAAATTCTCTGGAGCTCTGGAGATTAAGTTTTTGTGTTCATGACGTCATATAGTGAGACACAGAGGCCAGAAATCACCGTGAGCGTCATGCGTGCTTCAGTATTTGTGTAGTAAAATCTAAACCGTGTTTCCGCCATTCATACATACAGAGGCAAGCGGAACATGCAGGATTCATATTTAAACCGTCTTTTTGCATTTTAATATTCACAGACACTAGTTCATATCGCGATTCGAATTAAGTGGCAGACAGTGGCTACTTTTGATTTATTCGTCCAAAAATTGACAAATTCCGCACTATAGAGTAAATTACATTTTTATGAATGGACTCCACGATCCCGTTCGCGTTTTTGCAGAAACCGTATGGCCCTAGAAATGTAACCACACTTCAGAACATTTCGGCTTGCCCTGTGTGTTGTTTGAAAGAGTTGCATGGGTGACCTCACGTCACAGGGTCTCTCTTTCTCTCTCTGTAGCGTATGCGCCCAGATGCGTTCTCAGGTACCGAAATTTGGCACCGATTGATTTAACGTGAATCAGTACCCGGTAGTACCAACGCAATTCGGTCGGTACCCTTAAAAGTACAGAGTTCGGCATCCAACCCTACCCTGTAGGGCCTGTGAGACCACTGAGAGATCCCAAGAGGGGATGAGGTGTGTTCTTGGAGGATTTAATTTCTGCGCACCTCTTAGGGTAATCTAATAGTAAGATTGCACTTTCATACCGATCTCCCATCCACAGTGTCGTGGTTTGCTACTATTGCAGCCACACTTTTAAGGTGGATGGAGACAGGTGCCTGTCCAGGCCCTCTTGGAGGAAGGAAAGCACTGATCCAATACCAAATCTCTGTGGGTCCCATCTGTCCCATCTGTGGCTTCTGTTGTTATTATGATGTGTCTAGACAACTGTTCAAGGGGAAAACCTGCCTGCAGAAACGTCAAAGGGTCAAAGGGTCTGTCTGTGCATGGTGGTCATGTGATATGTGCCATGGTACTATGTTCATCTCGCGGCTGTGCATCGTGCTCACCCCAAGAACCAATCATCAAGCCACGAGCGCTCAGGGCAGGGTGGAGGAATCCACTCGTGCTGGATGCTTTTGGCTGCCTGGGCAAGCATGGCTGCCATTTCCATGTCGGCCTCAGACTGAGCTGCTGCACCTGAAGTTGAGGGCTCAGCAGAGTCTTCAGCATCAGATGGCTCAAGTCCACTCTCCAATGCTGCAATTGACAGTTCATCCTCATTACATGCCCCGAATTAAAAAATGAGCTTGCCCTGAGACGCCCTCTTAAACTTATCCAGAAACTCAACCGCATGACATCTGTGAGTGGAGGAACGGGAGGTCCACGGGGATTCACCCAGTGGAAATTCTCCCCTTGCATCTCTGTGTAGAAGGACCAGAACGGGAAGCATCTGAGGTGCCTCTCATTTAAAAAAAAGAATGAAAACCACAGACGCAATATGGGTAACCTCTTACAGGCAGAAAATGAGCCATCCACGAAAGCTGTTTCAGCATGGGTCTGACCCAAACACTGAAGATAGCAATCGTGGCCATCTGAGAGAGACATGAAATGACCACACCCAGAAGGACACGAACAGAAAGGCATATTGCAATACACACAATCTGCCATCACTGCTCTTTTAGAGAAATTTGCTCAAAGGAAATTAGTGCTCAAAGGTCGCAGTCGAAACACCCTGGTATCTCTATATGCTTGTATGTTTAAGAGGTAAGCAGAATCCACTGATTGTGTTGTATATCCAACAGGAAGAGGAAGATTGGCACTTTCCCAGAAAGACGCTGCATGAGCTCTGAAGAACAAACCTAGCATGCAGGCCCCTTATATACCTGGATGTCCAGGGCATGGCCACGCATGCAAATTTCACTTGCCAATTTCATTGGCCTTTTCTTAATATGTCAGAGGTGTTTGGATTTCCAAGATTGACCCCTAGTGTCAGAACTCCGACACAGTGTCGAAAGTGACCGAAAGAAAGGGAACTATGAAAATCAGTGGCTTCAAAATATCTTCTTTTGTGTTCAACAGCAGAAAAATTCAGACAAGTTTGGAACAACATTTGAGTGTGTACATAATGACAACATTTTCATTTTTGGGGAACTATCCCTTTAAGCAATGTCGCTGTGTTGTGATGAGGTTAATGTGATGAAGCTGAATTGATGAGTGGTGTCTTGAGTCACAGAGAAAGATAATTGAGTATACTAGAACAAATAATGGAAATGTTTTGATATGTCTCAAAGGAGGTGATCCATCTGTCTTGACATGGCTCAGGATTTCAAACCTGGTGATCTGATTTTTGCTAAAATGAAGGGTTATCCCCACTGGCCTGCAAGGGTGAGAAAACACTACTGAATGACCTTTTATTATTATGTTTATTATTATTATTAATTCATTACACTCAAATGCTATTGTTAATATTTAGTGCTTTGCTATTTAGTGTTTATGTATGCTGCCTGTTTCACGTTTAATATATGCTACTATGCCATTTCAGATTGACGAGGTTCCATATGGAGCTGTCAAACCATCAAATATAAAGTTTCCTATCTTCTTTTTTGGCACTCATGAAACGTAAGTAGAGATTTGTCAAAATCGAAATGGAGGGTTAATTCAAGTCCTCATCCTGCAGTTGAGTTATGGTTAAATAGATGTGATAGTTATGCATTAAATGCTTTCTGTTTAACATTTCAGTGCATTCTTGGGTTCAAAAGACATCTTTCCCTATTTGCCTAACAAAGACAAGTATGGCAAACCTAACAAAAGGAAGGGTTTTAATGAAGGCTTGTGGGAGATTGAAAACAACCCTAAAGTGGAGCTTAACGGACATAAGGTACTGTCGTCTTGCTGTTTTTTTTTTGTTTGTTTTTTTTGGCTTGGAGTGAAAGCCATGTCAAAACTTCCCACAAATGCAATAGACTCACATCTGTGCACAGAAATGCACAAATGCATGCAAGAAATCCACATACATACTAGACATGTCAGAGTATGAAATTGTCATATCACGGTAATTGCTGATGCTTTTATCATGCCTCTTATGATGGTAATGCATTGACTAATATTAACAATGAGAAATAGGTGCATTTATTACAGGAGTTATTATTTTTTCATAACATCAGTTAAGAAATACAACTGATCATTGTTAGTTCATGTTAGATCAGTTCCAAACTAAACTTCCTTTCAGTATCAAATATTTTTGTTGCACTTCTGTGAATATTTCTGTACATTTTCTGCTCATGGATGTTGCAGTCTTTCATCAAAGTCTTGAATGATCAGCTTAGCGGATATCTAGAGTTGAGAACAGTGGGGGTGATCTGTGAATTCATCTAGCTGTTCCATCCTTCCTTAATGGGTCATTTAGGCCTATTCTGGATCAGGAGATGGCTACTCATTGATAAAAGTTTTCTTGATTTGAGATAGGTGAGTGTGATGAGGTTCAGAGAGTGGAAGGAAGAAGACAGGGTCGGGTTACTGAGACTCGTGCGTTTTGTAGCATCTGCTTAAAATCATGGATGATCATTGGGGTTTCATGGCTTATAGATCGCTTTTAGCCTTTTGACATTTGCATATAAATTACAGACATGGCCCCACATTCTACATTTATATGGGTGCTAAATTGCCAATGGTTCCCCCCACTATCAAGGAAATGCTAAACAGTTTCACCACTCTCGTCTCCCCATCGAACTTCAAACATATTCCAAAGAGACGTAAATGACCCTGGTGCCAGGCACCAACGCAATGCAACACATAACACACACACACACACACACACACACACACACATAAAGACATTTTCTTTATTTAGATTATAATCAATCAGTTACAAATGTATCTGGTATATGCATGTGTTGTTTGTATGTTTCCCTATTATATTAGCCCAGTTACCACTCGTTATTTGTATTAGTTAAGCTCTAAACGCTCATATTCAGGTGTATGCATGTATCTCTGGTTTAATAGCTTCTAGATGTTTCTTTCTTGGTATCAAAATGATCTGCTATTTATTCCTCAAACAATGATGTACACTATGTGATCGTGAAAGGCATCATACTATTTGTACTATATTTTGGGTAAAACTGCACCAATCCTCCAGACTGTCCATAAACATGCAAATGAGCCATAAAGGGAGACAAAGAAAATTCAAAAATTCACGCCTGGTATAGGCTATTCCACCAAAAGGTGGGTGTGGATAGGAACTATCAAAAGTCATTAACTCAGACTAATCTTTGCTCAAAAACTTTTTCTTCTTGAGATGGACACTCTCCAAGACTCCTCAAAACTCTCCTCTAGAGTTAGATTTTCCGGCGGTTTGTTTTCTTCAAGTAACTTTGTCGATTCGCTGTGGACTTTCCTATCTTCAGAAGAACCAGAGCAAAACCTCCAGCTCACTCCTAAAGAACTCATCAAGAACCTCCGTGTCTACAGCAATCTTGTTCAGCAACAAAGCCAATGCAAGTAACCGTTTCCAACTAGTTAGATGCGTGTCTAAGTTTGGGCCCCTTTGTCAAGGTGATTTTTGATTATCTGATTATGGTTTATTTGATTCTCATTAGGTTGTGGTTAATTGATGCTAAATACTGCCATTCTTTGGTCTTCTCTCTCTCTCTCTCTCTCTTTTCTTACTTTCCTTCATTCTGTATATATGTGTTTTGCTTAGTCTTGTTGTATGTTAGCTGTAGTTTCATTTATTAAATCCCTTATATTCACAATTGATTGCCTCTGTGTGCTGCTCACACTGAGGCAATCACACACGAGTCACTGAATGTTGAATCCTTGCTACATGCTAAATTACTGCTAGTACTGCATAAAGTAGGAAAGCTACTGTTCCTTGGCCAGGAAAATAATCATTCCTTGAATTGATAAATGATTATATTGTCTGCTCGGTGGATGGACAGATCAAATAATTGTAATATTGATTCTGCTACAGTTAATTATAAGATCTAATCTAAATATTTATCATTAATTATAACCAGTTATAATTGATTATAAATATTTCCCTTTTGAGCTAATTTGCTACATATTTGGTGGAGAACGTGGCAACATTCAAACTTTGTTTGTGTGCAAACTCGGTATCAATTTATTTGTGTTCTTATATTATGGATGGTTCAAAGCCACCACCAGTACTGTATTTTAACAGCCTCTATTTGTCTAACATTTAGTCACTGTTAATTGTTCAAGTAAACTGCAGTTCAATATTAAAATTGTTCTCTAAAGACGAAGAAATCTCTTTACAGTACATTTTAATATTAGCAAAATCGTCTGTTTGGAACGAAGAAATCTTCCTTCATTGCGATAAAGATTGATTTGAGCGATGTTCCTCTTATCATCTTTTAAAGGCCTTATCTGATTGTATCGCTAGATTGAAGTTATTGCGTATTCCAATTTCATTCAACTAGACGATCTCACTCTCTTAGGTTTAACCATTAGAGTAGCTGACTAATGCGTGCCTAATGCAGATCTGATCATAAGAACACTGCGAGCCAGTAACTGATTGGAATGTAAATGGGAGCTTTTAAAACCTTGATCAAGTGAAATTTGTACAGCGAAGAAACCCTGTTGCTTAATTTTTATTGTGTACTGGCAGCGAAGAAATCCTGCCACACATCATTGTGCAGTTAAGTTGCACAAACTGTAAGAATCTGTTGGATCTAAGTCACGTTGTTCTTGTGATAGCTGCAATAAATTGTCCGTTAGAATGAGAGTAATCTCACACTAAACGCGATCAGTTTTAAGCACAATTGGAGTTAAGGCACAGAACCCTAAACTAACGCTAGAGGGCAGGCTGTTTAAGTATCTAACACTTCTTGAACTCCACCTCTACCCTCCTGATTTCACATTGTGTGGGCTCACTCCTCCTTGTGGTCGACTTCTCTCTCCCTAAGTCCATGTACTTCAATTTGTTTTATTTTGAATTTTCCTTCTGCTTCTTCAGTCATTATTATCATTCTCGCCCACCCACTCCTTTTTTTTAATCCCCATAAATAAGAAGCAGTGTCTCCCAATGGCCTATTTTTAGCATTGGTGCTAATGTGACATCACATTAGCCACAGGCCCCAACCACGAATGTTGACAGACACTGCTGTTCACTACTGAGCAAGTTCACAGCGAGTTGTACACAGTCCGCCATTGCTGCACTGACGAGAATGCCTCCCAAGCGTTTTAGGTGTTCTGTAGCTGGATGTAATAATCCACATAGCTCTCTCCATTTACTCCCGAAATCTGAGCCGCTGAAGACGAGGTGGATTAATTTTGGTTTCGAAGAAAATGCTCCCTCAACTCTACAGAAATTTGTTTATGTCTGCGCGAATCATTTTACACCGGATTGCTTTGTGAATGTGGGTCAGTATAAAGCAGGTTTTGCACAAAAGTTGCTCCTGAAGGATGGAGCAGTGCCAACTGTTCGTGATTCAGCTAACGTTCCGCCATCTAGAAGAAGTAAGTTTCACGCGTTTCTTTTCCAAATTGCCTTTCTGATTGAGCTTCTTGGCACTCTGTAAGGCTAATAATGTTGCTAAAGCTACCATTGTCTGTCTGTTTTCACTGATGCTGCCTTCACATGCTACCAGAATGATCATGAATAGGAATGTGGTAGTTAAAAATTGCATATGAAAGCAATGTGAAATTGACCACTTGAATTTGTCTAGCTCATAATCATATTCGGGACTTTTAAAGTTCGTGTTAGCACGCGATGGCACCATGAGGCCAGCTATGTTGTTATTTTTATAGTGCCGTGCTCCCCGTCTGTGTAATTCATAAATAATCTAGCAGGATGCAGAATTCGGCACGACACTGGTTCAAACATATATGGCTGAACACCGCTACTAGCAATTTCTGACATTTTCAGTGCGTGAGAGAGTGTTTTGTTATTGCTGGCATGATGCTCGATGCACGAGCTCTAGAAACTCCGCCCTCTTCTGAAAGGAGAGGCGGGAGCACCAGCTTGTTTTCATTTAAAGGGACAAACACAAAAAAACTGCGCGTTTTGGCTCATACCCTAAAAATAAAAATTTCAACAAGCTATAAAAAATTATCTGTAGGGTATTTTGAGCTAAAACTTCACATACACACTCTGGGGACATCAGAGACTTATTTTACATCTTGTAAAAAGGGGCATAATAGGTCACCTTTAAATTTAGTTTAAACAGTGTTTGAATTAAAATTTAAAGTTAATTTCTGTATTCTAGCCATTTGTGTTTACCTATAGGTAGCACTCCCTCTAGTGCTTAGTTGGTGAAGCGACGGTTGCCTCCATGGCGGATCACAGTGACCATCCTGACTGGATCACCTTAAACCATCACTAAGCCTAGCCCATAGAATACTAACCCATCCAGCTAGCGAAACCCCAAAATCAGGTTTCTCCTCAATCTTTAAGGTAATTAGCCTGCTCCTGCTATCCCAGCAAGGCCAACACACTAGATGTTATGACCCAGCAGTGCCCTCTACTCTGTAGGCCCTGTCATAACCCCTAACAGCAGTGAAAGGCTTAAACCTGCTCTCTCCTCTATCTCTCTCTGTGGTTTGATTTGTTGGTTTGTTTGTTTTTCATTTTGTTCTGTTTTGTTCACCTAGAGACCAAACCTTTGAGAATCATCAGGGAAGGCTGAGTAACAGATTGATGACCCAAGCTGCCAAAGTCTTTAGACGATCACGCTGTCAACAATCTTTAGTTAGATCCTTTCCAGTGCCCCCACAAAAATTAGACACACCTTGCCATTCACGGCCGAGATAACAGGTGTCTGGTCTACACTCCCCTAACTGTTTGCACTCGTCAAACAGACCGTACGAAGAACATATCATTACTATTATTGCAGCTGTTAACGCTGTAAGGACTTGCAT